GCACTCTACTTGACCATTAGAATGGGAATGGTAGCCGGAAGTGAGTGAGACCTTGGCCCCAAGAGCAGAACAAAAACCCTTCCAAACCTATGAGATGAATTGAGGACCTCGATCAGAGAGTATGTCTTGAGGGATCCCATGGAGGCGGAAAAAATGCTTGATCATGAGTTGGGCTGTTTTGAAAAGCTGTAGGGAGCTTCCTCAGAGAGAGAAGATGACAGGCCTTGGAGAAACGGTCAATGATTGTGAGAATGGTAGTCATACCTTTAGAGGTAGGGAGTCCAGTCTCGGATCTGCCCTTCCCCCATTCCAACCATTTGAGTCTTGTGAGGCAGACCAACCTGATCTCTCCTCCATTCCTGCTGACTACCACGACCTATCTCAGGTATTTAGCAAAATAAAATGTTCTCTGCCTCCCCACAGACCATATGACTGTGCTATTAATCTTCTCCCTGATTCAAAGTTTTCTAACAAAAACTAGTTGATGACATTGACTCATTGACTCAAATACAATCCCTCACACTAAGCATGCTTGTAAGGACAGGGGAGAGGAAAAACTCCCTTTTAACAGGAAGAAACCTCCAGCAGAACCAGGCTCAGTGTGAGCGGCCATCTGTCGAGGCCGACTGGGGTTCAAGGAGACAAAAGCAGAAATACAAAAAGCAGCTGTAGAAAGCGGCCCTGTCCAGGAAACACACAACCAGGCCGACGAGCACCGAGCCAGCTCCCATTTCAGAGGATGAAGACAGCACATCCAGCCAGTCACCGTCAGAGAAACATGACTAGTCTGGAAAACAGGCCGATCTCCAGCATTTATAAACAAGGGTGTTGATGGCAGAAGCACAGCTGATATTTCTCTCCAGGATGGCATCACAGCCAAACAGGAACAGACAAGGCAAAGCTACTCTGAGAAAAGGCACAGAGAGCATAATGTTAGAGAATGAACTAACAGATTCTGCAGAGTAGGAGAATAGAGAGACAAAGAAGCAGAATGATGAAATTGGGGTCCCTATGTCCTCCAGAAGTCTAAACCTATAGCAGCATAACTATAGAGATAGCTCAGGATAACCTGAGCCACTCTAACTATAAGCTTTATCAAAAAGGACAGTTTTAAGCCTAGTCTTCAAAGTAGACAGGGTTTCTGCATCAAAAACCAAAACTGGTAGTCGGTTCCACAGGAGAGGAGCCTGATAACTAAAAACTTTGTCCATCTTCATCTCCTCTCGGTGCTGGATTTTTCTTTGTGGGAAAGAAGGATGGTTCCCTTAGACCTGGTATTGATTACAGAGGCTTAAACCAAATTACAGTCAAGAATAAATATCATTTGCTCCTTTTGTTATCTGATTTTGAGCCTGTTTAAGGAGCCACTGTCTTCACCAAACTGGATCTCAGAAATGCCTATCATCTTCCTCATATAGGGGAGGGAGACGAATGGAAAACCACCTTCAAAACTCCCATAGGTCATTTTAAGTACCTGGTGATGCCTTTTGGTTTAACTAGCGCACCTGCTTGTTTCAAGGCCTTGGTTAATGATGTCCTGAGAGATTTTTTGAACATTTTTGATTTTGTGTACATTGACGATATCCTCATTTTTTTCCAAAAACCTGTCTGAACACAGGATCCATGTCCGCTAAGTACTGCAGCGCCTTCTAGAGAACAAGCTTTTCTTCAAAGCTGAGAAATGTGAGTTCCATAGGCCTTCAGTCTCCTTCCTGTGATTCATCCTAGAGGGCGGAGAGGTAAGACCCATTGCAAAGAAAATTAAAGCGGTCCAGGATTGGCCTACACCCGAGAACAGAAAGCAGCTTCAAATATTTCTGGGTTTTGCTAATTTCTATTGTCGATTCATTCGGAACTGCAGCCAAACTGCTCTACCCCTCACTTCTCTCACTTCCACGAAGGTCCCTTTCGTTTGGTCCCCTGAGGCTGAGGCAGCCTTTGTTTGTCTCCAGCACCTTTTTGCCAATGCTCCTGTTCTCGTCCAGCCTGATTTCACCAAGCAATTTGTGGTGGAGGTTGACACCTCTGATTGAGGTGTTGGAGCCGTCCTCTCCAAAATCTCTGACACTGATAACAAGTTATACCCTTGTGCTTTCTTTTCTTGCAGACTTTCCCAAGCAGAGAGAAACTATGACGTTGGAGACCAAGAGCTCTTAGCCATTAAGCTAGCTCTTGAGGAGTGGAGACACTGGCTGGAGTGAGCTGCACACCCTCTTCTGGTATGGACGGACCATAAGAACCTCTCATACATTCAGTCCGCCAAGAGGCTTAACCCACGACAATCTCGCTGGTCCCTGTTTTTCTCCCGATTTAACCTCTCCATTTATTTTGTCCTGGCTCTCGGAATGTTAAACCGGATGCTCTCTCTAGGCAGTTTGCCCCAGATGAATCAGATGAGTCTGATGCTCCCATCCTGCTTCCTAGCTGCTATGTGGCCGCAGTCACCTGGGAGATTGAGGACCTTGTCTAGCAGGCCCAACAGTCTGAGTCTGGCCCTGGTACCAGACCCCCCAACAGAGTTTTTCATTCTTCATTCATTCATGCTTGTGTGATTAACAGGCTCCACGCTTCCAGGTTTTCTGCCCATCCAGGTATCAGTCGAACTGTGGCTCTTATTAGTCGACGTTTTTGGTGGCCATCCTTATTGAAGGACCGTAAAGAAGTTTTTCTTGGCCTGACCCGACCTGCGCTCGGAACAAGCCCTCTCATCAGTCCCCTACCAGATTGCTTCAAACCTTGCCTATTCCCAAGAGACCCTGGTCCCATATTGCAATTGACTTCATCACTGGACTCCCTACCTCCAAAGGTACTACCACCATTTTAACCATCATAGACCGTTTCTCCAAGGCCTGCCATCTTGTTCCTCTGAGAAAACTCCCTACAGCAATGTAAACAGCCCAGCTTCTGATCAAGCACGTTTTTTGTCTCCACAGTATCCCACAGGACATACTATCTGACCGCAGCCCGCAGTTCATCTCCCAGGTATGGAAGAGTTTTTGTTCGGCTCTAGGGGCCAAGGTCTCTCTCACTTCTGATTACCACCCCTAATCCAATTGCCAGGTGGAATGTATGAATCAAGAGTTGGAAGCCAGCCTCAGATGTCTCACCACTTCTGATCCCTGTGAATGGAGTCAATTCCTCCCGTGGGTAGAATACGCCCACAACACTAGCATCTCCTCTGCCACTGGACTATCCCCTTTTGAGGCTTCGATTGGGTACCAGCCACCCCTCTTTCCGGCCGAAGAGGCAGCCATTGTCGTACCCTCCGTTCAGCACCACATCCATCGTTGCCTGACCTTCTGGAACTGGGCCTTGATGGCTCTGGGAAGGACCTCCGAGCAAAACCAGAGATGGGCCAATCGCAGGAGGAGGGTTGCTCCTTTCTATCGCCCAGGCCAGAAGGTCTGGCTCTCAACTCGTGACATCCCCCTCAAATCAATGAATCCATCCCACCTTCCACATGTCTCAAGTCAAGCCTGTCTCATCTAGCCCCTTGTGCCCACCCGCTGAGCCCCCTCTGCCCTTGGACATTGATGGCCACCCTGCCTACACCGTCCGCCGTATTGTGGACGTATGTGGGTGGCAATACCTCGTCGATTGGGAGGGTTACGGTCCTGAGGATCGTTCCTGGGTCCCTGGATCTTTTATTTTTGACCCCTCCCTCATTAGGGACTTCCACCTCTCATCCCTCGGGTTCTTCTGGACCGCCGGGTCGTTGGGGGGGGGGGTACTGTTAGGAATCCAGTTTGTGTGGGTTGTGTTTTGGTTTATTTTCCCTCCACCACCAGGTGGCGCCTGGTTCTCGTTGGTCTTCTCACAAACCTGCGGATGTTACCTCATTACCGCCACTACCTCGACGCCAGAGTGTTTACCAGTTTTGGGTACTCTCGCCAAGCTGGGTTTTGCTGTCTCAAACTGAGTTTTTGTCTTTGACTCGGCAGGAAGTCATCCTGCATACTGGATGTTTTGGACTGAGCTTCAACTGATCTGGGGATTTAAACTGGAGGTTTGTACACAGTGCACTGTCCACAGTGCACAGGCAATCAACTTGATAATTATATTCACGCATTATGGTTATTCACGCCGGTTCAGAGGTTCTGGGTACAGGTATGCAGAGATGGCAAAAGTACTCACTTTTCATACTTGAGTAAAAGTACAGATACTTGTGTTAAAAAATACTCTGGTAAAAGTGGAAGTACTGATTAAACTTCTTTACTCAAGTAAAAGTAAGAAAGTACAGGCTTGTAAATTTACTTAAAGTATAAAAGTAAAAGTAGAAACCGCTTTTTTCATGCCGTTGCCTACATTTTAAATGGATGTCTGCCAATAGGACTTTCAATCATCTCGTCGTCCATACTACTATGCTAACGCCACCGCCACCAAGCTGCAATGATTTGCCGCCAATGAATACCAAATCTGTCGATTCATCTTGTAGTGGTGCGTCAAATGCAACGTAGATTCCCATCCAATTAGATTGAATTTGGTATTGATGACGTGAAAAATAATAACGGTAACTCCATTGAAATGATTCAAAACTAAAGTAACAAGCCAATTTTTTAAAATGTAAGGAGTAGAAAGTACAGATATTTGTGTAAAAATGTAAGGAGTAGAAGTAAAAAGTCACCATAAAAATAAGTAGTAAAGTAAAGTAAAAATATCAGAAAAATCTACTTGAGTACAGTAACGAAGTATTTGTACTTCGTTACTTCCCATCTCTGCAGGTATGTAAGACCTATCACTGGGCCTGGGTTGTAAAATCTCAGTTTTCCCTTCAGTTTGCTTGCTGGGTGACTTTGAGGGCAGCTCTATGGAAAAAAAATCAGTTTGCATGGCTTTCACTGCGTTATGCATCGCAAAGAAAACTATCCTCATGAATTGGAAAAGTAAAGATAAACTCACCATCAATCAGTACAGAGATCTGTTGTTGGATCATATTAATCTTGAGACAGCATCTGCATCCCCATCAGACCGATCTCTCTGGGCTCCCTTGATCGGCTCCATCACTTAGTGTAGTGGGGGGGCTGTGGGGCGCGTCCTATGGGGCGCGGGGGGGCGCTCAGAGCGGGGTGCCTGGCGGGTCTAGCCCTGGGGTCTGTTGCCCCCATCGGGGCGGGGCTTGGGGTGCCTCGGGGGGGTCCTACGGCAGCCGCATGTGGTGCTCTTGGGGGGTTCCGTGGTGGCAGACGTGGGCTAGTGGCCTGGTACCTGTGCTGCTGCTGGGTGGGTCCGGGTGGGTTCGGGGGTCTAGGATCCCTGGGGCGCATTGCCCTCGGGCGGGGGCCCCGGTGGGGCTTCGGGTTCTGTGGGGAATGCTGCTTAGGGTCTGGGCCGGTGTACGCCCGGCTGTCTGTGCTGGGGTGCCTCAGGGCCTGTTGGGCTGGGGGGGCATGGAGATTAACACCTATGGCAGATGCTTACCCCTTCAGGGGTTTGCACTCTGCTAGTGGGGGAAGGGGAGGGAGGGGGAGTGGGAATGATCTCGGCCTGGATGTCTTTTGTCGCTTGTATGGTGAGTGGTTTGAATGTTAATGTAGGGGAGGGATCACATCTCCGGAGGGGATGCAGGGGGTGGTGATGGAGGGAAGAGGATTTTAGAAGGGCTTCGGGTGTGGCTCCCTGTTTCGGTCCTGGTCCGGGCCGTCCCCTGGTGGGGCTTCGTTCGGGGTGGGGGCTCTGTGTGTTGTGATTGGACTGGCCGGCCGGGGTTTCCCACCCTCCTTATTTATGTATTTATTTCAATTATAATTATCGTTTATTTATTTACTTTTTTTTTTTTGTGAATGGACAGGATGGGCGGTGGGTGATAGTGTCGGCCCTGTGCCCGGCTGGCTGGGGGGTCCTGCTGCCGGTCCCTGGCCCCCAGGCTATGGTGGTGAGACTGGTGGGGCACTGGGTGAACGGGGGTGCCTATTGTAGTCAGTGGGGGAGCTGGCTCCCTGGGAGTGCAGTAAGCACCCCAGTCCTTTGCTCCTCATCCCCGAAATCCTCCCTCTGCCTCCTCCATCACACTCCTCCATCACACCTTCTGATGATGTCCCCCACCCCAATTTTATTTTGCATTTTAGACACTTCCATCTACAACATTTTCACAACACACATCTATGTAGGGCATTTTCTGGGGGGTAGGGGTCAAGGCCACCCGGGGGGGCTTATTTTATGGGCCTCACCACGGTCAGCTCCCCCCACCCCCTCCCGCATGTAGACATTGAAGGTTCTGGGTTGTCGATTGGGTACCGCCTGTCTTCCGGAGGGGGGGTGGACTGTGCTGGACACCCCCTTTTGGTACTCCCAGTTTTAATTACACTTGAGAGCAACACACAACAACACATTCGAGCAGGCGTAGGGAGGATCAGGGTCTTCTCACACCCCTGTTCTCCAGCTGCCACTCGGAGTCTGGGGCATGGAGGAAGAGCGAGCCACCTGTCCATGGTCTTGGTGGGGGGCTGCTGAGGGGCCTGGGTTGCCTGCCGGTGCCGGGGCTGTCACTTCTGTTCTCCCCAAAGGAGGATGGAGGGAGGGGCATGTAGCAATTGTGGAGAGGAAGTGGCTGGGTGAATTAGTTAGGGGGGGGTGGGGGGGCTCTGGTTGGGTGGCCTGTGCGGGGCATGTGGGCGCCGATACCGGGGCAGCTTTTGCTGGGGGTGGTCTGGTCCGGGTGCGGGGTGGGGGGCCGAACCCGATGCAGGAATGAGATGGGTTGGTGTGGCAGTGTCACCGCTCCCCTCCCCCTCATGTGGCTTTCAGGTTCACTCATTGGGTCATTCGATAATCCCGGGACCAACCATCGGTGCCGCCAGGTGTTTGGTCCTGGTATTATTGGATGTGAGTGTTATGTGTGAATGTGCGTTCGCGTTTTTTCTTTTTTGGCTCATCTCTACAAAGTCTGTGAGGTGTGAGTTGGGACACTAAGGTGGTAAGGCGTGATTGAGACTGAGTTTTGTTTTTTCCCCAGGTTGGGTTCTGAACTGCTTCCTCTCCCAAGCACATCTCAAATCTGCGCCAAGTGAGGAGCCCATTTCCCCCGTCCTGCTCTACCTCCGCTGGCTGGCACCTGGGCTCGCTGGTGCACTGGTGGAGCTCGGGGTTTGGGGGTGGACCTGGTGGTTGGGGCAACCCTGAGGCCCCGGATCCCTGGGGCCCATGGCCGGATTCACTTCGGGGTGACTGGCTGCCGGTGGAGCCCGCGGACTCATCCCCACGGCTCCTCCCTTGGTGGATGTCTGATTTCCTGGGTTGGCTCCTCCTTGGCGCCTTTGCTCTTGGGGTCACTTTGGGTGTCTGGGGCTTTGGGTCTCCTGGCGCTCGGGGGGAGCCTCTTCGGCTCTTCACAACCACTATTAAGCTTTTTTTCTTTGGATAAACTTTACATGCACAAGTGCATGCTCACAAACAACTACAGGTGCTTGGTTCCAGGTACTTAGAGATTCACTTCCATACAGAAAGCCCACATTCTTATCTTCAGGTAACACAGAGCACATGTCAGATTAAATAATACTACTTTACTTCAGCGATAGTATCTAAGTCAGGGGTGTATACTGGTTCCAGAAAGGGCCGTGTGGCTGCAGGTTTTCTTTCCAACCAAGCAATAGCACACCAGAGTCCAGTCATTTCATCAAGTCATCGTGTTAGATTGGAATCACTTGATGAGATGACAGGAGTCTGGTGTGCTATTGCTTGGTTGGAAAGAAATCCTGCAGCCACACAGCGCTTTCTGGAACCAGTTTGACACCCCTGATCTAAGTGTTACTTTATTGTATCTCTTATACTATGTCTGTTGGTTGTGCTGTTCTTTTTACATCTCTTTTCAGGTGATGAAGCAGACTGAAAATGTTCTATCATTATCTCCCTTTTATCTCCTTTTTCTTTCATCTTTTCTCCTTTTTATTTATATGCATAAAACAAGCGGAATAATATGGCAATAGCTGTACTGCTCCATTTGTGAAAGTAAAATCTGTTGGGCTCTTTTGGCAGGAAGACAATTATTCTTATTGCCACATCGCCAGACAGGCCACTGTTAAAAGAAAAATAAAAAAAAATAAACCATTAGGTCTAGTGGTGGTCTATGTAGATAGGGCAAGGTGACTGTTCTGCACTGAAATAGTTAGTCTTCATCAGTGCTGATTGTTCTGATCAATCATTAACCCTCCATTAGCTTATTGAAGTAAACGTGAACAAAAACTTAAAATATTTCTCACAGATAAGGACCATAGAAGCTTCAAAAGATTTAGAGCTCAGTTTTTATCTAAATGCACAGATGAGCAAATAAGACTGTAAATATAGTTAAACATGTCTAGACCCGCCTTTCCTGTAAAAGGGGGCAGGCTTCAGGTGACTGAGGTATTAAAGGAATCATGAAAAACGGGTCCAGTGAGGTCTCCATTTGGTCTAGATCAGAGCAGAGCAAGGTAGGAATTTTGGATCGGGTGAGTCTCAACTTCATTCTTTTTATTCCGTTTCAGAATTTAAATGGGTATTCTCTTTGTGGAAAAAGCAGGGAACCAGTTTTTGTCCTTTATATGCGTATAGGAAAAAAAATAAGTTTTTGTTTTGTGTCAGATGGGCTGAGACTATCAGGGAAAAAAGTGGGAAGTTTATACTTTTGTTCTCTAAGATACAATCTTAGACAGACCCGTTTGTCCTGATTCTTTAGCTGTGAGCTCTAAGTCAGTGCTCCTGTTAGTCTGCAGGAACTGGACGACAGAGTAGAGCATTAATAATAGTAAATAAAAATTAACTCTAATAACACAAAGGGCATCAATGTTCTGATCCAAAGCTTGACCAACCACCCAAACTTTATGATCACTGATAAGCAGCAGTGGACGGCCGTAGTGATCAACTTTGCCATCCCAATTCATGGAAACATTGGAAAAAATTACATGAGAAGTTTTAGTGATACCAGCAGCTCAGGGAAAACTAGAAAGAAACTGGAAGCTGAAGGCAACTGTAGAATCTGTAGTCCTTGGAGTACTAGGGACAGTAACCCATACATTGGAGAAGTGACTCCAACAGATACCTGGAAAAAATTCTGAAATCTCAGTTCAGAAATATGCAGTTCTAGGGACAGCTAAGATACCTCAAGAAGAACCCTCAGGCTCCCAGGACTCTGGTTGAGGAACCAAGCTTGAGATGATGGAGCAACCTGCTCTTCATAGTCTTGGGCTGGGTTTACCAACATTAAATAACTGTGATAGATAATTGAAGGTTGTAGTTAATAATCTGTTTTTTTTGTCAAATAATTGTGGCTTACTTATGCAAAATATGGTAAAGGAATTAATACAGCAGTCTCAAAAGCTTTCATTTTAGGTCTTCGGATGACACAACGTAAAGAATTCAGCAGTTTTCACAAGTTTTCATTTTAGTCTTTGAATTGTGTAGTTCCAGGCCTAAGATGATCGAAATTACCTTTCAAACCTTTATAAATGTTAGCATGAAAACATTAATCTATCTTGCCTCTCGGGTGTTTAAACAAATCTGTTCGAATAAATGCTTTAATTTCCACTGGATCCTTGGCAATGCAGTCTATATTTGACATTTCATCTCACTCCTTATTTATTAAACAGTTTAAGTTCAAATGTAAAAAAAAATGTAAATAAACTTTTTTCAGATGGTTCGGAGGAGATTCATCATCAGTCATCAAGACAAGGCACGCTAATTTGTGAAGGGTAATTAAGTTATGAGGCATTTAAAGTGCTTTGCATGAATAGAATATAAGAAAAACAAACAATGACACAACAGAGGCTGGTGGAGGAAAAGTTGGACTGCAAACTAGTGATGATTCAGTAAACCATTTAGTTAGAAAAACAAAGCAAAATTATTTTAACCCTTAATAATCTGGCTCATTGTCATCTGAGGTATGGGATGCATGTAGATATTAAATAGGAGGGGAGCCTTGGTGAACCCTACTTTAAGATTAAGTATTAAAAAGTGCATTAGATAGTTCTCATTTCAAATCCAGATGGTGCATGCTGGAACCAGGCTCCTCTAAGGTTCTATACATATGATAGGAATCTGCTCTTTGCTATACAATGCACTTACTGGACCTGAAACACTGGTACGTAACTGACTGGTTCTGGTTTCTCTCACAGACTGATTTAGGAGCAGAAAATGGAACAGTGTGATCTAGAGGACCAAAGAGAACCTCCAGGATCGCGTCCTCTTTCTATAAGGAGTGACAGGTCCAAAGGAAAACCTCCAGTCTTCAGTAATGAACCTGGATCCTCAGGCCCAGAGTAAGAAACCTTTCTTAATTGATTCATGTGAATCTGAAATTATACACTGCTTAAGATACAGGTAAACAACACAACATAACTTCTGTCAAATCATACTTCTGTGAAAACATCTATCCACTTAGGAAGCAACAATGGTGGAAATTATTGGCAATTAGCAAGACATACTCAATAAAGGAGTGGGTCTACAGGTGGGGACCACAGACCACATTTCAGTATCCATGCTTTCTGGCTGACATTATGGTCACTTTTGAATATTATTGGTCCTTTGACACTCGTGGTAGCATGAGGTGGAATCTACAACCCACACAAGTGGTTTGGGTGGAGCATAGTGTCCAGAGGATGGAGGTGCTACCAGGAGACAAGCTAATACACAGGGAGATGTGAAGGAGGCCATGGGAGGGCAACAACCCAGCAGCAGGACATTTACCTCTGCCTTTGTCTGAGGAGGAAGAGGAGCAGCAGTGCCAGAGCCCTGACAAATGAATTCATATATCTGCACCAATGGTTAGATATTGACTCCATAAGGATGGTATGAGTTGTAGTTTGGCATTTCTTTGAAGGGCCGTACAGCCCTCTATGTGTTCGCTAGGGGTAGCATGACATCCATTAGGTACTGAGATCAGATCCTCCTCTTGTAAGACCATATGCTAGAGTTCCTCCTAGGTTCCTCCTAATGCAGGACAATGTTAGACCTCATGTGGCTGGACTGTGTGAGCAGTTCCTGAGCATGAAGTCATTGAAGTCATGGACTGACCCGCCTGTTCTTTAGACCTCAATCGGGTTTGAGCACATCTGGGGCATCATGTCTCAATCCAGTCACAAACTTCATGTGGCACCACTGACCTGTCCAGGAGTGGCTGCATGCTTTAGTCCAGGTCTGGGAGGAGGTCCTTCAGAAGACCATCTGTCACCTCATCAGGAGCTTGCCCAGGTGTTGTAGGGGGGTCATACAGGAACATGGAGGCCACACACAATACTGAGCCTCATTTTTACCTGTTTTAAGGACACTATGTACTCTGTCCTTGCTCATCTACTCCGTGTACTCTGCGTTGTGCGTGCGTAAGTTTTGACTCAAGGCCGAGCAGACAAGGTCGCCGACAAGGCAGCTTTATTTTGTTAAAAACAGGGATATTTTCAGCACAGCAATTTAACCAATCAGGCTTCCACATGCACACCTCTCCCCAGCCAGCTCTGCGCAAACTGAGGGGTAGAGGTGGGCGGATCGATCCTAGGATCGATACTATCGATACCAACGTTGTTATTGATATTGAACAATATGTGTTTAACGGGATCAAATCTTTTTATTCTCCCGCACGCAATAACTGCTGCAGATTCACCAGTCTCCCCCGTATGTATAATTACAGTGCATTGCTACTCCCCCCTCCCCTCTCGTCACCGGCTCAGCACACAGGCTTAGCCTGGCCCCCCACTCAGCTCTCTCTCCACTCCACATATGAACTGCTCAGATGCCAGAGAGGGAGAGACCATCCGAGCAGAAAATATAAATGAAAACAACCTGAAAGCTGTATGGTTTGTAAAAAGCTAGTTAAATGCAGTTTTAAAAGCACATGAAAAACCACGAGCAAGAAAAAGTTGAGCTACAGAAATGGGGAGATGAGGTGAAACTCATTCATTGCCCCGAGATACCCTCATTCAGACCTGATTGACAGAGGCGTTTCAGACCTACAGGGAATATCCAGGTAGATAAGAGTAATCAACTTCAACAGCAGTTGATAGTAAAGATCCTTCCTCTCCACTTAAAAAAATAAAATAATTAACAGGCATAACCATATATCCGCTCCCGAGAGCGTGCACAAGGCCATTTCTCCTCATGCATGCTCTGTTTCAAAGTTGCTGTTTGTATTGCCCATACAAGCCTACTTTCCAAAAAAGATTTGCAATTTTTTCCACTATTTCAGACTGACCACTGGTAGTATTTCTATTTATTTTGATAATACACCCAGAAATAGAACATTCTCCGCTAAATCTCTAACTTTCAGAGTAGATATTATATGTCATATATCAGACATGGGCAATGTGGAGTCAACAAGCCATCTCCATGTCATGTATTTAATCTACCCAGCCAATTAACCAGGTGAGTCCAATCTGCACAGGTTAATTCACGGTGAAGA